ATGCCTACGTGCTGGCATATCCTAAAAGGAGTAAAAAGATTTGCCAAGAAGAAGTCGTTGAAAAGTGGACTCAACTAAAAAGCAATTCAGATCGGCACTTGAAAGCGGAGGTCTGGCTGCAAGAGCTAAAAGCAATTGCTGCCGCTAAAAAAAGGCTCACCCTATGATTTGGCAAAAGAAATACCTAATACTAATAAGTCACTGAAGTCAGATAAAAAAGCGAACGATGCTCATGAAGTCAGTGATTTCAAACCCTCTACCAGCAAACTATCAACATCTAAGCAGGCTACAGTCCAGATAAACTTACAATCAGAGATTGAGATTCTGAATTCTGATCTAGTCGGCTTGTATGAGCGACAAACTCGCGGAATGTTAACGCAAGAACAGAACATGGAGCTTAAAGAAAAGAAACAGAAAAAGAGTGATTTGGAAAAAAAGCTAAAGAGGAAGATATCTGATCAAATAAGATCTCAGAAAGCTCGAAATGAAAAGAAAAGAAAACTGAATGCTTTGTTTGAAGAGAATCCGGGGCTACGCGCCACTTTGAATGTTAGATCTAATTCTGGCAGGCCAAGGATTGAAGCAGATCAATCTTCTTTATTGGAAACTATCATAAACATTGCTATGCATGGATCAGCATCACACGAAAGGAGGCAGCACGAAGTCTACAGGACTATTAAAACATTAGATCAGCAAACTTATCAGTTAAAACAGGATGGGTTTATAATTAGTAGAAGTCGGCTGTACCTTCGACTGTTGCCTAGACGTACTTCTTCTCATGAAGGGCAACGACATGTATCGAAAGTCCCAGTAAAACTGATAAGAGCGCAAAACGATTGCCATGCAAATCACATTGATCGCTTGTTTACAGCGGCAACACTGCATCACCTAGAAGAGTTAGCTTCCATGCTTGGACCGAATGAGGTATGCTTTATAAGTCAAGATGACAAGGCCCGCGTTCCGCTTGGGTTGACAGCAGCTAAAAAACAGAGTCCATTGCTCATGCACATGGAATACAGGGTGAGCTTGCCTGACCATGACTGGATTGTGGCTGCTGGACATAAGCTGATCCCTTCAGTTTATGCAGGGATAAAAATTCAGCCCAACGCCTTGGAAAATCGAGAAGCTGTTGGATACTCCGGCCCAACATACATAGCAATCAGATCTGGTAAACATTCCTCATCCACAGCGCTTAGTCATGGACTTGATTTTGAAAAATTACTTACTTTACATGAATTTGATATCACAAAGAGCGGTGTGGATCAAATTGTTAAACCATAATTAGTGTTGACGGTTGATGGTGGCCCAGACAAAAATCCTAGGTATCAAAAGGTGATCAAAGTTGTGGTACACCACTTTCTCAATCAGAACTATGATGGTTTGTTCATTGCTACAAATGCACCAGGAAGAAGTGCATTTAATAGGGTTGAAAGAAAAATGGCGCCACTTAGCAATGAGCTCACAGGATTAGTTTTACCCCATGACCACTACGGCAGTCATTTGGATGAAAGAGGGGTTACAATAGACACAGATTTAGAGAAGAACAATTTTCAGTTTGCCGGAAACACTTTGGCAGAAATATGGTCACACTTGACACTGGATACATTTCCTACAGTGGCAGCATACATAGATCCAGAAGCGTCTGAACTCCTTGAAACTTCTCTGCTCTCAAAAGATCAGCGTTGGCACGATATTCATGTGAGAACTAGCCAGTATTTGACTCAGATCGTTAAATGCATGGATGGTAAATGTTGCTCAAAGCCAAGAAGCTCGTATTTTAGCGTAATAACTGATAGATTTCTTCCTCCACCTTTACCAGTCACCCAAACAAGCTGTGGACTAACAATACCTGAGCGTTCAACAGATGGCTCTTCACATAAATTTCCATCTCTTTTTGTTGCTCAAAGTATAAAAGTGGATAAAATCCTTCCCCGCTCTTCAAATCCTTATCGCACAATCCCTTATGATTTGTATTGTCCGTCTGTTCAATCCGTGATCAGCGACAGGGTTTGTAAGAAGTGTCATTCATACTTCTCTTCATTGGTTATGCTGCGCAATCATTCTTTAACTCACAAACAGGAATCATCAATTGTGCCATTACAGCGCATCAGGCCTCTGAGAGTTGCTGCACGTCGCCAACGTGAACTGATGGTTATAATTGCCAATGCAATTAATGGTGAGAGTGTAGATTGGATAGAAGAGGAAGACTTTGATGTAAAGGGAATTCCCATTCCATACAGGAAAAAAATCAATTCCGTCCCCGTGTATTCAATGAAGGAACATTTTAATTCTCCATTGGAGAATGAATAAGCTTAAAATTAAATATCACAACTTTTAATTTAGGATTGCCATATTAATACTGTTGTAAGTAGTTTTTTTTAAATACTTCTGTTTATGATCTTGCTAAGATTTAGAAATATGAATGTATATAGATATCGTCGGTTAAGTATAACTTGTTACTGATATTATTATTTAATCGTTATTAATAAAATGTCTATAAAACTTGCTTAGATTTAAGTCAGTTTGAAAGTATTTCTTGTCCTATTTCAACATCCTCTTCGCTAACAGCAAAACACGCAATTTAATAATCTAGTGGAGAGTCTTTACTATTAAAAATCAATTACATTAATATTGCTTTGTGAGAGATGACATCCGTTAAGTCCATCATATAGGCTACAATGAAATATACTAGGAAAATTAAAGGTCTGGGCATACTGCTAACATTTAAATAATTTGCATATTATACTCAATATATAGTTATTCTAACGTGTGTCGTCATGTCTGCAAGAAATACCTACATTTACATTAAGTATTTAAAAAAAAAATAATCCTATCAGCTTTAACATTACCTCACTGTATTACTGTTTACCTGCTGGTGCCACGAATGGGTCCTGCGCGCTCATTTTTAACGCTGTGTCAACGAGCGGTAATTTTAAAGGGATGAAAACACAGCAAATTTAAAACATAGGATAAATTGTAAATTAGGGGGGTGGGGTGGAGTGTGACGTCATTTTAGGGGGGTCTGAATTTTTGTGACAATGTGTGACGTAGGGGGGGGGGGGGGGGGTAAAAAAATGGCTTAAAAAGCGTGACGTCATTTATGGACGACCCCTTATGGGGAAAACAGGGTAATTTAAACACATATTATTGGGTACTTACCGTAGATAACTGGATAGGTCGTATGAAAAAAAGTGTCGACTCTACTCAAAGCCCTTGACGAGCGCTATGAGAAGAGTGCGAGTAAAATTTTCCTGATATGAGCTACATATAAAAAAAACATTTTGGAACGACCCCACTTTGATATTTTATAAGGTGGTAGAAAAACGCCAAGGGGTGTAAGAATAAACTGGCCATATCCGGTAAAAATCTGTAAAATGGTCAAAACCGACCAGTCGTATTTCACTATAAAGTCATTGTAACTTTTCTGAAAAACTAGGTAGATTCAACTCAGATTTTACGGTACTTTATCCCTGTACATCTGGCTAATTTTTCACATGCGCCCCTGTAGATGACTAGGTCATCTAATGAAAAAGCTGTTATTAAGACTCTAAACCCGCGATGAGGGCAAAAAATAACTGCGAGTTAAATTCTTCTTATATTAGCCATATATTAAAAAGTTGTCGAAAGATCCTTTAAATATTTAGTGAGGTCGTAGACCGACATAGAGTTTATAAAAAAAAAACTATATTCACGTAGGAAAAACCTATAGCGCCGTTTAGTTTGTCCAGTTGGCGTATATTTTAATACATAGTCATAGTAATCTTAATCCCAAAATTTTTATAATTGTTTAGCTTTAAATATAGTTTATACTCAAGTAAAATCAACTTTTTAAAATAAAATATCAAAGGACGAATAGTAAAAAGTTACAATAACGGCCGAGAAACACGTTTTGTCACGTTTTTCGAGTCAAGTTAATAAACAGAATGTTTTTAGTTTTAATTTTTTAAGTAGTTTACACGTTCACGTTCACGTTCAAGTTCACGTTCACGTTCACGTTCACGTTCACGTTCACGTTCACGTTCACGTTCACGTACTCGTACTCGTACACGTACACGTACACGTACACGCACACGCACACGCCCACGTACACCGTAACTGCAACCGCAACCGCAACCGCAACCGTAACCGTAACCGTAACCGTAACCGTAACCGTAACCGTAACCGTAACCGTAACCGTAACCGTAACCGTAACCGTAACCGTAACCGTAACCGTAACCGTAACCGTAACCGTAACCGTAACCGTAACGGTAACGGTAACGGTGACCGTGACCGTGACCGTAACCGTGACCGTGACCGTGACCGTGACCGTGACCGTGACCGTGACCGTGACCGTGACCGTGACCGTAACTGTAACACTAACTGCAACACTAACTGTAACACTAACTGTAACTGTAACATTAACCGTAACTGTAACAATAAAAGTAACTGTAACATTAACCGTAACTGTAACATTAACCGTAACTGTAACATTAACCGTAACCGTAAACTTAACCGTTGTGGTAACCGTAAATATAGCCCTTGTGACATTTCGTTTAGCTAACTAATAGCTTTAATCTAGTTATATCTTTACTCAAGTTATTGGTTTTTTAGAACCGTAAGCAGTGTAAGTAGCCTACCACTTCAGTTTTCTATTCTTTGAAATCGTTCAAAATTTGGTACGGAACTAAAAATTTGATTTACTAATTATAAGAAATTCTGTCAACATAAATGCAACTGTTTTCAAGCTTTTACAGAAAGATAGATACAAACACACACACATATCTATAGCGAAAACCGTAAAAATTAAGTTTTTTTCCGACAGAAGGACATATATAAGTTTCAATTTCGAGTTTTCTCATCATTACAATACTTCCTCTATACTTCGTATACGAGATAGTGAAAATAATACCTATTTGCCCCCTGCCCTCAGTATTTGCAGGTGTTCTAACATTATTTGCATTCTGAACATTAAAACTGCATTTGTGAAAACATTGTATCTCAACCTAGAAAAAAATTATCAGTTTTTCAGATTGGACGAAAAAGATGTCTTTAGCTCACGTCGTTGTGCTTATGGCTTTAGTTGACACTGGAGGTGCTGGTTGCAGCAGAACAAACTGGACGGAGAGTTGGAAAAAAGCAGGAAACTCAAGGTGTAATGGTTATTATGATTTTATCTCTGGCTTTTATCGAGCTGCCTTCACAGGTGCTGAATCTGACAGTATAGAATTAATAGAAGGAGTTGAATGTTGTTCGAGAAATTTACCATGGGACAAATCAAGAACACAAGTAATGATTGCTAATTGGTGGTATTCGTTTCATAGAGACGACTCCTGGTCACTCTGTCCTACTGGTTATTTCCTTAACGGTTTTTACAGAACGAAAGACGCTGATCGTGGCTTTCTGGATAACATAAAAGTGGGACGTTGTTCTAAACCATCTGACCACCCAGCATACTATAGTCACTGTTATGATCACGATATTGGGACATGTTTTGCTAACGTAGGTTTGTGTAAATGTAATGATGGTTACTATGTCACTGGTTTGTACAAAGGGAACTGTAGTAGACTTTATTGTATACGGACTTTGCGATGTTGCAAGCCGGCGTCAGCACCAGAAGTACTAGACGAGCTCTACATGGTGCAGACACGCATTATGGACAATACAATGTACGACATTGCTAATTTTTCGGATGTTATCGGTTACGACTGGTGTGGAGGTTGTAGAGCCCAGTTCACAGGCGAGGATTTTGTTAGAGAAGGTGACACATGGATTTCTAATGTAGATCAACCCTGTCGTGGAGACAATAATAATAAACGCCTCAGCATGGCGTACGGCGACTGGAGCTTCGCTATGAAAGACATCAAATACGGACCTCACATCATCCAAAACTTAGTACCAGAAACTATAGACTCGGGGACTTTTTATAACAATCACGTGACGGAGGCTATGAAGACTATTATACGAAGTGAGTCCAGCGTTCGCACAGTCACCCACACGACAACCAGTTCTTGGAAAAGCAATCTTGATTTAAACATCCAAGTTACTTACAAGCCACCAGGAGTGGGAATTAGTGCTGGATACAAGTTTGGATATGAGACAAGCACGTCTACAAAAAATGAAAAAAGTGAGAAAACATCGAAGAGTTTTACAATGACTACTAGTAAAAATATCAAGGCCTATTCTGCTGCCAAATGGAGTTTTATCGTGGCAAAAACACGAACTTCAATAACGTACACGGCTACAATCATAGCCAGGTTTTCTACCGAGCTTCAAGGCATTCTACGTGGGGGTGGAGGAAAGCATGATATTGACACAAATTATCATAACAAGTATCATGGTAGTGATAGTGTGTCAAAGGTGAACTACAAGTTTGGCAGTTCAAGCGTCCCATTTTACACAGACCTAAAGCAACAGAGCGATACAAGTTCACACCCTTGGTTGTGGAACGACATGAGAGACGCGTATCCAGAATTTCAACAAATGCTAAACGATTTGTGCGATGAGAATCGATACGTCTTTCAACTGACTGGAAGGTTTGATGATGTTGTTGGTACAAGTGGAGATTTTACCTGGGAAGCTGTACCATTAAGTAAACGATCAGCAGACCGTTACAAGCGTGTTCCTGACCGTATCTTCCAGAATTCAACACATGTCGCTAGAGCTTTGCCTAATGATGACCCTCCGATTAAATTTGATCCTCCTTAAGCGAATACTCTCGCTTCATTGATTTCCGGATGAAACATCTTTGACAGGATGTCATTAAGGAATTCATTTTAAACGATAGTCTATGAATAAATAAAAGTCAACTTAATAAAGTACATGCGTTCATTTGTGTTGCATAATTGTAATTGAATCAGGCGTCGCGAATGGGGGCAGGAGGTGAGGACCTCACCTTGCAACAACAAGACAAAATATGGCAAAATATAGAGTGCAAAAATATAATCGTTCTAGTTAAATGAACAATTAATCAGTTAAATAGTCTTCCAAGAGCCAAGTTGATAAATCTCGACTTTGTTGAAGAGGGGGGGGGAGGGGTTGACAACATGACGTAAACCTTGTAACGATGGAGAAAACAATATAAAATCCGTCTATACTAATATCGTACTATAGATAGTAATAAAGGATATGTCTATTGACTACTAGCATGGAAGTGACACAACATTTAACAGTTTTCTACAAAAGTAATGATTTTTCCACTTGATTTAATAACTGTTAGAATTAAGCCCCTCGATGCCTTCTTTTGGTGGATCAATCCGAAGTGGATTGGTTTAAAATTGGAAAATAACAAATTTTGAATCAATAGGCAATAACAAGCGAGCAACAGAAATTGTTGACTTTAAACATTGACAAACTTTTCAAACAATTAATACACTTCCTAAATAAACTTGATCTTGAAAATTTGAATATTTTCATTGGAATATGTAAAATTATAATAATTTAACTACAAATCTAGTATACACATAAAACGAAAAAAAAATTTCATCAACCTAGCTGTAACGATAACCAAGGTCTCATGTTTCTACACACACTCACAGTTATACAGGCAAGATTGCCAAACTATGTTTTTCCGACTCAGTGGGGTGTAAAACGTCGAGATTTGAAAATGTACATATATATATATATATATATATATATATATATATATATATATATATATATATATATATACATATATATATATATATATATATATATATATATATATATATATATATATATATATATATATATATATATATATATATATATATATATATATATATATATATATATATATATACATAAGTGTCATATACTTCATGGTCATGGTCATGGTCATGGTCATGGTCATGGTCATGGTCATGGTCATGGTCATGGTCATGGTCATGGTCATGGTCATGGTCATGGTCATGGTCATGGTCATGGTCATGGTCATGGTCATGGTCATGGTCATGGTCATGGTCATGGTCATGGTCATGGTCATGGTCATGGTCATGGTCATTGTCATGGTCTTGTTCGTGGTCATGGTCCTGGTCATGGTCATGGTCGTGGTCGTGGTCGCGGTCGCGGTCACGGTCACGGTCACGGTCACGGTCACGGTCACGGTCATGGTCATGGTCATGGTCATGGTCATGGTCATGGTCATGGTCTTGGTCATGGTCATGGTCATGGTCATGGTCATGGTCATGGTCATGGTCATGGTCATGGTCATGGTCATGGTCATGGTCATGGTCATGGTCATGGTCATGGTCATGGTCATGGTCATGGTCATGGTCATGGTCATGGTCATGGTCATGGTCATGGTCATGTTCATGGTCATGGTCATGGTCATGGTCATGGTCATGGTCATGGTCATGGTCATGGTCATGGTCATGGTCATGGTCATGGTCGTGGTCATGGTCGTGGTCGTGGTCATGGTCAGGGTCAGGGTCAGGGTCAGATTCAGGTTCAGGTTCGTGTTCGTGTTCGTGTTCGTGTTCACGTTCTTGTTCACGTTCACGTTCTTCATGTTCTTCGTGTTCTTCATGTTCTTCATGCTCTTCATGCTCTTCATGGTCTTCATGGTCTTCATGCTCTTCATGCTCTTCATGCTCTTCATGCTCTTCATGCTCTTCATGCTCTTCATGCTCTTCATGCTCTTCATGCTCTTCATGCTCTTCATGCTCTTCATGCTCTTCATGCTCTTCATGCTCTTCATGCTCTTCATGCTCTTCATGCTCTTCATGCTCTTCATGCTCTTCATGCTCTTCATGCTCTTCATGCTCTTCATGCTCTTCATGCTCTTCATGCTCTTCATGCTCTTCATGCTCTTCATGCTCTTCATGCTCTTCATGCTCTGCATGCTCTTCACGCTCTTCACGCTCTTCACGCTCTTCACGCTCTTCACGCTCTTCATGCTCTTCATGCTCTTCATGCTCTTCATGCTCTTCATGCTCTTCATGCTCTTCATGCTCTTCATGCTCTTCATGCTCTTCATGCTCTTCAAGCTCTTCATGCTCTTCATGCTCTTCATGCTCTTCATGCTCTTCATGCTCTTCATGCTCTTCATGCTCTTCATGCTCTTCATGTCCTTCATGTTCTTCATGTTCTTCATGTTCACGTTCACGTTCACGTTCACGTTTACGTTTACGTTTACGTTTACGTTTAGACCATATAATCATTTTTTTTTTGTATTCTGGCGTTTGTTTAATATCTTTATTTCATCTGCAAAACTCCTATTGTTCATTGTTTTAAAAGAGTTTTCAGTGAATTAATTTGTTCTATTTTTAAATGAAACTTGACACAAAAATAAAAGTCGTGGCATTTGCTTTAGCTTTACTTTCTCACAGATTCCAAGACGCAAATGACCGACGCCTACAAAGACGCAGCAAAATTGAACATTTTTAGACATTTTAAAAAAAAAATGTGCCCATTAAAACACACATCATGGCAATTCCACCGGACAAGAAGCAATTTCCTTTGGGTCCAGTCCACACCTTGGTGTCGGTGAAAGGGGAGGGGATTGTTGTGGGAGGGGGGTGGTTTGGGTGTGGCTCATGGTGCTGTGTAGTGTAGCCTGGTCTTATTTGGAATCAAGAGTGTGTTTTTTTTATGGGATTTGGACTATTCCGTGTGTAGGTTGTAGGCCTATTTGTAAAGAAGAGTCTGAGGTTTTATGTACGTTGTAAGTTGTATTGTTGTTTGTGGTGAGCGATGTGGTTCAAATATTTGGATCCTTTTCGTAGCGTTTTGGGGATATGTGGATCGCGTTGTGTTGTGTTGCCTTTTAGGTAGGATTTATTGTGCCGTGCGCGAAAATGTGCTTGTGTTGATTGATTCGTGTTTTGCATGTGCATGGCGTTATGTAGGGTGTAAGATGATTTATTTGGTCGGAATCGTTTGTTTAGTGTAGTAAGCTTATAGCGATGTTATGTTGTGCAATGCGATGTGCGGAGTGTTGGGGTTTGGGACGTGTGGTGTGGTGTGGGTGTTAAGTTATGTTTATCGTTCATAGTGTTTAGTTGTTTTTTGTGTAATAATTTATATAACATTATGTTAATTATATGCATCTGAATTTTCGTACTATACATACTCTTAAGCCTTGCCAAAATAATAGCATTCTATTAAACAAAAATTATATTCAACGAACTGTCTGTATTGAAAACAGTTTTAGTATTAAAAACTGAACATTCTGTATCACTAAATCCTGATGAACTGATCCTAGTTATTTTTCTAGTTCCCCTATAACCTTAAACTGACTAGTCGTTAAATTTAATTTCAACCAAGCTAATCTCTAAGATATTTTTCAATAATCGCTTTACTGGTATACTCTAAAAAAAATTTATCAAGCTTATTTTAATCCGAAGCCAGATTAAAATAAAGCTTTAACAGTGAATTCTTAAAGTTGCCACGTAAGTATATTTTTTCAACGCGTTGCTTAACTTGAATGCAACGTATTATATCATATAAGAAAACATACTTTATTTATCAGAAAAATTAAGCTTTAAAATACAACCAAACCAAACCATGGGATTATTGCCCCTATGTGATACATATTATATGCAGAATTCCTAAGCATTGCAACATATTTTATGTTCTGCATGAATGCGGGTGACTTATAAAATATATATTCTATAAGCCACTTGAAACTTTATCTAATCATAGGGTTGCCACACGTTGGATGAACAGAATAACATTTTAACACAATTTTAGAAATAGAATTATAGAGGTTTTCTATGCAAAAACTTACTTGTATTAAAGGCTTTATGGATGAATACAGTTTTAACAAATTTAAGTTACAAGCATTGTATAGATATAGCTACTGTATGGCATTAGATTATCCGTTCCTGCAAGTGCTCTAACAGGAAGTACCATATTTGGGAACGTAACAAAAGCTCGTGGTAGTCTAAATGCCGAGAGGAACAAATGACGACAAGCCAGTAAATTACAAAACTAGCCGTAAGGCTTACAACCAAACTACATGATATCATTAAGGTCGACCACTACACTACCTTCTAGCCAAAGGCCGATCATTATATTACCGACTAGCGTTAAGGCCAAACACCGAACTATCGATTAGTCTCAAGGACGACCACTAAATTACTAAATAGGTATATTATCCTATAATAAAATGACTGATAAGAAAACCTAACTTGCATGCCCTTGATATTTACACATAGATTCATATTACTTTTTATAGTGATGAAGAAGAAGTTACTCAAAGTATATTAAATAATTGTTTTATGACGTCAGCGTCGTAATACGAATCAGAAAACTTAATCAGTTTTCCTAAACAACTAAATCAGTTTTCATACGAAACTAAATCAGTTTTCCTACAAAGCTATTTTAGTTTTCCAGCGAAACTAAATCAGTTTTGCTACGAAACTAATTCAAGTTTCCCTTGCAACAAAATGTGGGACGGAGTGGTCTAGCGGTAGAGAGCTGGACTGCTAACCCGTAAGTCTCGAGATCGAATCCGGGTTCAAATCAGTAGACCGTCCCTGAGTCCACCCAACTCTGATGGGTACCTAACTCACGTTAGGGAAAGTAAAGGCGGCTGGGAATAGTGCTGACCACACGATCTCTTCATATGCCGAGGTCACAGAAACAAGTGAACTCTACTTCACTTGCCCCATAGACCGTCAGGTTTGAAAGGGAAAACTTACTTACTTTGCAACAAAATTAGTTTTCCTAATTTTTATTTTTTTGAATGAACTTAAATCGCAAGTGCCGAGTATATATATATATATTTTTTTAAAATTGTAGCATATCTTGTGCAATTGGGATTTGTGCCGCGTCGGCGTTTCTTTACGCTTTCGTCTGCGAGCGTGAGGAGAAAATGCCAGCTAGGAATGGCTACAGTCAACGCTGGATGCCAGAACTTGAATGCAAGGATAAAAACCTGGATTTTAAAAAATGGACTCGAAACCATACAAAATTCTATTTGTTTTTGTTAGACTATTCGGCTTTTAACAACAACCAAAATAAAATCAAAGCCAGGTGTCATGTGAATATTAAATATTGGGAAGGTATAATATTCTATTTTGTAAATAACGTCATACATTTTGTTTGAAAAAGATAAGGTTTAAAATTCGCGTATATTATAATATTTGTTTTTCTCAAAAAAATAGACACATAAATTTTGACTCGAATTTTACATTTTTAATGGATTGCTCCCAACAAAAGATTTATGTCCCATTTTTGTCAGTTGACATTGAGGTCATACAATAGTATTTTCTATCAAAATCGATGATGAATAAATCATAATCTGCAAAAAATGTTATAAAACAACAGGTGGTCGACGATTTGTGCGATGAAAATCGATACATCTTTCAACTGACTGGCAGGTTTGATGATGTTGTTGGTACAAGTGGAGATTTTACCTGGTAAGCTGTACCATTAAATAAACCATCATCAGAGCGTTACAAGTGTGCTCCTAACTATATCTTCCAAATTTCAAAGCATGTTGCAAGGGCTTTGTCTAATAGTGATCCTCCGATTAATCTTCATCCTCCCTAAGTGGATCTTCTCGCTTCATATAGCTTCGGAAAAAAAACATATTTGATAGAAATATGAATGAATAAAAGTGTAACTTAATAAAGCACATGCGTTTATTTGTGATAAATAATAATGTTAACGTTAACGCACGTTAACCCCCCGGGGTATCGCGAAGGTCTTTCTGGGGGGTCGCCAACTGGTACACTAACTAAACCTTAGTAATTTGAACTAAAACATAAATATTTAGAAGAATTTTTGAAATTCGGCTTCATTAACATCACTGGAAATGTAATAGAGAAGAAACAAAGCGCACTGTACAAAGTTGTTCTCAGTCACGAATCTATGAAATCTTCAAAACTAAAACGTCATTTGAGACGAGTCATTCGGAACACACCAAAAAATATATGGAGTTCTTTCGTCGGCATGAAGCTAGATGCAAACGCCAGAGACTTGATCGAACAGGAAGTTTTCACCAGCATTAGTGCAAGTATCAAATGAAGTCGCGATAGAAAATGCCAAGCAAAAAAAAAATCAATAGGAGAAAAATGGGTTAGAACGGCTGTAAGGGTTTGTACGGATGGTGCGCCATCTATGTTTAGCTCAAAATCGTGCTTTCAGAAAACAGAAAAGATTTAGCTCCCTAACCACTGCCCTAACCAACAGAGTTTCTGTCAGGCATCTCTTCGGGGGGGGGGGGGCAAAACCGCCCCCCCCCCCCCGAACGAAATGAAATTTATATAATTTATATAGAAAATATATACTTTTAACAGTGTCCGCCCCCCCCCCCCGAAGAAGGTCTACAGCCTCCCCCCCCCCGAGAATTTCAAGTGCCCCCCCGGAGAAAAAAAGTCTGAAAAAAACACTGCTAAAGTAGTATATTAGGTCACTTTTGGGGCGTAGGCGCAGGCGCACCCAGGATGCGCAAAGGATATAAAGTAAAATACTCGGATGCGCAGGGGGATGCGCAGGCGCAGCCTGGTACAACGAGATATAGTAAAATACTCGGGATGAGGATGGGGAGCCTGATACAATGAGATATAGTAAAATACTCCAAGCGCAGGCGCAGCAGCCTGGTACAATGAGATATAGTAAAATACTCCGGATGGGGATGCGGATGGGGATGGGGATGGGGATGCGGATGGGGATGGGGAGGATGCGCAAGGATGCGGATGGGGAGTAGGTCACTAGGTCAGTAGGTCGCCACCGGTGACCTTGTGACGTAATCGGTGACCTAGTTACGTAATTTTAATGAGTTTTTAATTAGTTTTAATGAGTTTTTTAAATTTTAATTAATTTTTGACCTAGTTACGTAATTTTAATGTGTTTTTAATTAATTTTATTTTAATTACTTTGTTTGTGTTTTGTTTGTTTATTTTTAATAAGTTTAATTAATTTGATTTTTATTTATTTTGTTTTGTATTTGTTTGATTTTTATTGACTAGTTACGTAATTGGATTTTAAATTTTATTTTATTTTTTTAAATTTTAATTATTTTTATTTTGTTTTTTAAATTTTAATTAATTTTAGTTTGATTTAATTGATTTGATTTTAATGTATTAAATTTTTAAATTTTTTTTTAAAATTTTAATTGGATTTAATTGTTGTTTATTTGTTTGGTTTAATTCATTTTAATTAGTTTCATTTTAATTTTTATATTCTCCAACACAACGACCGTGTACAAAAAACAGGTTAAATTCTCCACCACATCGCTAAAGTATACAAACATAGAACATTAATTAAAGATAACGATTAGCGACAGCTGTTACATATCGATCCGCGATCCTTTGTTCTTGTCAACCACCGTACAAGGGCCAAGTTAATATTGATCGCACCCACTGACCATCAGTATGATGGTCCACCTAATTAAAGTTGGTCAAGCATCAGCGATTTACAGCGGTTTACTCGGCGCTGCCCGTTTTTTTTAATGGGAATGTATTGATCGACTCGCCTCGACCCAGTGTAGCCATTAACCATCAGGCGACAGCTGTGCATCAGTTGTGCAACAGCTGGTACCACACTTTCCACTAACACTTAAACACCGCAGCCTGGCGCAATGAGATATAGTAAAATACTCGGGATGGGGATGCGCAGGTGCAGCCTGCCGCAACCTGGCGCAATGAGATATAGTAAAATACTCCGGATGGGGATGCGGATGGGGATGGGGATGCGGATGGGGATGGGGAGGATGCGCAGGGATGCGGATGGGGAGTAGGTCAGTAGGTCAGTAGGTCGGCACCCGAAAAAAAATAACTCACCCAGCCCCTTAATCAATCAAAATTATTGATTTGTACTTTAGATTGATTTGATTGAATGTTATGTATGCTAACGTCATACCATATTTAGATTTTACACGTCATTATTTTGGTGAAATTTAAATGTAGCCATTTTAAACGGTGTGTCCTCTGACACGTCGTACTATAACGTTGTTGTTTTTTAAAACTTGAAAATTATAATCTTAATTAAATTTTTACTAAGGTGATCAAAAATTAAGATGACAATGCAAGATATAGAAAAACAAAATACATTGAGTGGTAAAAAAAAAAATTGTCATTAGACGTAATGTAATATGTATAAGTAAACTTTCTTAAAAATTAAAGAAGTTCAAGTCAAAAAGAAGCTTGATGAAAACTGTAATACTAAAGCGAACATGGGAAGGTAATCTGCTGCAAGACTAAGATATATATTCGTCTTCCTTCTAGGTTCATTGCCTTTTTTGGATGAGGTTAAACATCGCCATGTTTTCAAATATCGCGATGCATACCCCGTTCTCTCTCCTCTTACTTAGTAATCACATCGTCTACCCATTGTTTACAAGACTCTTACAAAGAAAAAATATCCCACCCCTCTACTTGAGACATAAAATACAAAAGTGTATTGTGCCTTGTCGTCACAGAAAACAAAAAAGGGTGGCGTCTAATGTTGTTAACCCTTGATTTCCTAAATTATTTTTTAACTTGTTAAAGAAATTGAATGTTTAGTTAAGGATTCTGACGCGAATATGTTTCACAAGGGACGATACTCGTGGCTGTAAACAATACTGTTCTAATGTTAGAACAGTTGTCTTTCCTCTCGTTTCTCTACTAGGGAAGACACGCGACACGACTTTTAAAATGTAAACAAACGTGCACGAGGTGCACTTAAACTAAACCCCGCTGCGAAAATGACAACGGCATGGTGGCACTTTTTGGAAAACACGCTTTCATGTAAATAAAATAAGGATCGCTTTTGTTGTCACCATGATAATGTATACCTATAAGTTCTCTCCGCCTTTATCGACCTAGTATGAATTTCGCGCGCGTGCGCATGTATGTGTGTGTGTGTGTGTGTGTGTACGTGTATCTCAAAAAAAGCGTATCATGTCAACACCTGTGCAACAAGTCATAGTCAAAAAGGCCTAATTCATTACAGATCTATTGGAAACCCCTTTTTACATGTACTTACGTTAGGAAAAGTAAACTCGGTTGAATCAAAAATGTATTTAAATATATAGAGTTATAGAACCTTAAAGTTAACAGATAATGAAAAAAATAAAATAA